AGCAATGCGCATTTCAATTAAAGAACAGAAGATATCATTAGAAAATGAACAATATGTAGACTTGCTGTTTTCAACAAGAATTCAAAAATATCATTTTTCACCATAAATGATTGTGGTTTTTAACAAGAAGAAAATATCACTTTTTACCAAAAATGACAAAACTATTCACCAAAATTAGAGAATTGAAGATATCATCATGAAATGAACAAATTTGAGAGTGGTCCACATGTAGTACCTATATATGTAATACATTTTTGTATCAAAGCAATTGGACTTGTGGTTTTTAACAAGAAGTTGAAAATATCACTTTTTACCAAAAATGACAAAAATATTCATCAAAATTAGAGAATTGAAGATATCATCATGAAATGAACAAATTTGAGAGTGGTCCACATGTAGTACCTATATATGTAATATCAAAGCAATTGGACTTGCGGTTTTTAACAAGAAGTTGAAAATATCACTTTTACCAAAAATGACAAAAATATTCATCAAAATTAGATTATTGAAGATATGATCATGAAATGAACAAATCTGAGAGAGGTCTACCCAAGCTACATATACACCAAGTATCAAAGCATTCAGGCTTGTAGTTTTCAAGAAGAAGTCGAAAAAGTAAAACATTGACACGGACGACGACAAACAATCACTCATATGATAAACTCCGCTCGACAAAGTCGACAGTGGAGCTAAAAACCTGGATACTCCAGTCAACATTTGGTTGTGCTTACAATAACGGTACACACCTTGTACTGTAAATGCATTAATTATTCATTGAGTTTTAATTTCACTATTTTCACCAATAAGTAAATTTGCTAAATTAAATCTACATGAACATGTAAAATAATAATAAAACTAATTTTTTACTTAACAAATTAGTGAAATTAAAACACAGTTAATATGCTCAAAATAGTGAAATTAAAAGTCAGTGAAAATAAATGGTTTTACGGTAAATGATTTGTTGTGAAATCTGTATTAGAAGTCACATTCCTAATAGAAGTCATACCCATTCCTTTGGAACAAATGAGAACCAAAAATTCACCATTTCTTATATGTGTAGATGCTCTAATAGAAGCTGCATCCCCTCAGGATTGTGCATCTAATACAGATTTAACAGTATTATCTGTTAGATGTATTACAGTTAAAATGAGTGCAGTTCGAGAACTGGGTAGTACACAGTTTATATTTTTTATTAAATTATTTTTTCTCTATATTGTGGGAATCTGAAAAACAACATGTGTATTTGTTTAGATTCACGCAGAATTCAAGATGGCGGCCCCCATGTATGATGCAGTATATATATATATTACCACTTTGCCAGCTGACTGTCGTACAAAGACTGTACTGCCGTAATACCTAATATTTTGCGATGAAAACCTCACAATATATGACATGAGATTCACCATCACTTTTTGGAAATTCTTAACTTACCGGGGTATTACTTTTTAACTTCAAAGTTTAGTGTCACATGTTGTGGTCTATATTTGCGAAATATAACCTTGCAGGCCGCCAAGACACGCATATAAATTGAAGACTAGCTTGTAAACATATCATCGCCAATCGTGACAGTTATCGTAACACGTGCTCTGGGGCTTATTAGATAACACGCTGACTAGAACTAAAATTATCATGTTATTGTTTTGTTCGACACAAATACATGGTCAGCGTCGCCCTTTTAACAAGCGTGATCAAAATGTTAACTATACCGAGTGATTCCAAGTATACTTACCCTCTGCCCAGGCCAGGTACGTAGCCAAGTGGTGCGGGAACACCAATGAAATTCTTTTTGTTTTTGTTCACCAGGGACCCAGGGGCCACGGCCATCTTTGTTTGGGACGACATCTCGCAACGATATCTCGTCGTTTCTGGAATCGTGGACTGCACCCTCATGAGGGCGCACCTTCAAACACACTTTCTTGGAAAACTGGCAGAGGAAGCACACAACTGATGCCCGTGTATTCACTGTCGTCGAAAACACAATGATACAAGTAACCTGTAGAATGCTGTGTGGGTAATATTTTTATATTGATTTTTGTTGCATTTGCAGCAAATAGTTACCAAACAATGAGAAATCTATAGGATTGGATATACCTCTCAGCTGGCTTCACATGCATAGTTCAAGACTGCCTAACCGGTGCTTATACCAGGATTTAGTTGCAGCACTGTGGTCTGTGGTTACAGCTTCATTTTCCGAGTAATCACAAGAAATTGACATGACAATAGAAATTCATGAAAGACTGGCACTCCCATACAATTAATAGCAAGTGAAATTCCTGGAATTGAAACATAGATTTTGAAGTCACTG